GTATAGTTAGCCTCGTTACTTTATGAGCAAATCATGTATAGCTGGCTTAGAATTCAGAAACAGCATAACAAACAGTTGGTCGAGATTTGAATTGAGTCTGTAAAAAAGCACATAGAAAAGTATTCTGTCCAGCAGAAAAGAATCAAATAAACACGTGTGAAAATTGGGGGAGGGGGGAATGACGGATCAACTCACCAGCGTTCGTCTGCTGAAGGGGAACACGACCCAGGGAGGGCGCTGAAAATGGACAGGTCGACTGTGAGTTATCGGTGCACTGTCCGCTTGCTGCAAAAATGGGAGTTAAAATGTGAGATGCGGGGATAAGAAATACAAAAGTACTTGCCACGAACACCAGTGACAAATGAACGGAGAGTTGAAACAAGAGGGATGTCGGAAAAGGTCAGGAATAAGACGCCGTAGAGTGTCATTCTGATTGGCGTGAAGTGTAATCGAGGTGCGGTAAAGGTACGTCAATGGAGCTAAATTCGACAATAAGAGAGTATAAAGGGGAAGAGGCTTAGGATTAACACGTTGACAAGGTGAAAGCGCCTTGACGACTACTCGACTTTTGGAAGGTATATGCGGTGCCAGTATGGTACAAAAGTAGAAAGGTAAGTGATCAACTCGAATAGCTCTCAGTGAGTGGCAAATATGGGCATACAGCTAACTGCCAAACTCGTGTCACAGATTCACTTTGGTGCTGAGCCTTGCTGAAGAGCTATAACGCATTTCTAACAATCGTAGTCCATAACGAAAATGGACTACAGCCTCACATCCGCTTTGAAGATGGTGCTGTATCGGAACAAAGCCGAATCCCCATTGCGTTATGCTTTGGAGTCCACAACGCGGAAGCTGTATCATCCAGTGGCGAACAGCCTAAGGCTGGTATTCAAACAGCGCGTGTCAGAGAAAGTATGTTTATTGCATATCCAACAAAATTCACAAAACTATGCTTGAGTTGGGCATTTTAAACTACTTAGCCACCCCATCCCTGAGTAATGTAACATAATATACGCAATGTGAGAACGAGCGAAGAAACTGCTTGAGAACACCTAAAGTGGCCTCTTACCAAACATCCGATTGGTAAGCATTCTGCTATAAATTATCGAGAGTGCTACAACAAACATCATCCTGAATGTTTTTGGATACTACGACTGAAGCAAAACTTATTGTTGCTCTACGATCTGCTACACAATAAGACCTACTTCGAATTGACGACACTCGGACCGTAACACAGCTCAATTCGATAGCCTAGTAACCAAGATTATACAGTGGTTAGACCAAAGGCTAGAACAAGTATGCGCTTTTCTTTCTTTCTGTGGAATAAAACAGACAATCTAACTCGTGTGTCATGTGAAAGTGTGGCGACATTTAGTGTAAAGCTCTCCAGTTACTCTAACCTGAATACGATAATAACATTGAAAAAATCCCTAGATGAACTGTTCCAAGAAGGACGCTATTATAACGTCTAAACACCCACGTTTCCAAAACTTTGACTTTCGCCTTAAACATTCAGCAAATCGCCACCATATAAGTCTCATACCTCAGGAGTACACTTATAGGTATCGCCTATGCAATAAAATAGTTATTCTCGCACCTACTGATTTGGATCGTAACGGACATAGTTTCTCGGGTCATGAGAAATATAAGTATTATTACTACTACTTCCAACCACCATAAATACAACCGTCATTTCGATCGCGGAGACCAGTACACAAACTGACCATCGATAAGTCGCAGACTGGATCTCATAAGCGACAAGTGAGTAGTCGCAAGAGTTGCTTTGAGTCGTAAAGACTAGGGAGTACTGCCACAGCACCTAGCACATTGAAAGTGTGGACAAGAGCTATGAGTAAACCGGATCCGGCCACAAACTCCCTCAACACAGCGAGGTAGAGAAAGCGCATACCTATCGGGCCTATTGTGTCCCATGATGCAGTCATAGTTGGAAACTAGTGTCTTCACGAGAATACTTTGTGTCAGCTAACCCGACAGTCAGTAGTGGACCCGATGCTGGAATCACCAGTACGTTGGTACTGTGTACTGACGCTTCGCTGCTGCACTACCATCACCGGTCGCATGTGGACTAAGAATACTATGAGGGTCGCTCGGTCCATACGCAGGCTGGAACCGGCTCTCAAAGATTACGAGGCAGGCTAGGGGTTCTTAAGGCTACCGGCCAGATGGCAGCACGCGAGCTCATTCATAAGCTAATCTCTCACAAAGGAACAGACGCTCGTGTACCACAAAAATGCTGGTTACAAGCGGTAGGTAGACTGAAAGAGTTGGAGCAATGCAATATCATGTGCATAAATTTTTCCGGGGAACTCATCGTTCAGATTGTCGTATGCGGGTGTACAAGTTGCAAAGTAAGGCGCTGGTGAGCCCATCTTGGAATCGCTCAGCAGCTCTGTCCAAACTAGTCACTCAAGTGGAACCAGAACGAAGGCAAAGTACATGCGTCGTTGGTCGAGCGGGATCAAACAATGCGTAACCACCTACATACCTGGTAACCTGTTTGCGACATTAAACAGTGGCACAGTGGAAAGCAGCGGAAGAATGTACAGGTGGACACTCTATCGACACGTGTGCCCTAAAACGTAAACTCAGACAATACAGCAAGTTATGCATGAATCTGGGGGAAAAAAGTAGCTGTGACAAATATCCGTTTCATATACGAAAAGAACTAGAGAACCGGCTACTATCAAATTGCAACACAGACAACAAGCACTGTTGCTGTGCACAGGGAGACCGATTGGGTGGGGCTGTAAAAGCCGTGAAACGTAGATAAAAGTGGACAGCTATATTGGAAGTCCGCAAAACGAGGATCGATAACGTTTGGCCTCAATCGTACAGATCATTGCAGGCGACTTGTCCTCAACGATTCACGTGATGCTGATAGGGGCATCATCACACACGCATTCCGAGGAAGCCAAGCGCAACAGATCAAATCTAGGTCACCAGTGTACAATCGATATCAAGTTTAAGGGGCGTTGAAAAAGTATTTTTTCGTATGAAGCCGAGTGCCAAATGAGAATCATAAATAAATAGTATCAAAACCTAGATGGTTGAAATTGATCGTGTCTAGGTGATCAAGAAGGCAGTTAAATTGACAGGAATCAGCAATACGCCGGTCCGCAGCAACGGCTCTTCGCTGCCGCGCAACCGCCACCGGTCGCACGTGGGCCAAAGATACTGCAAGAGTCGCCTTGTCCCTATGCAGCCTCGAATCCACGCCGTCAGATTACGAGGCAAGCTCCTTACTTACAGGTTATGGACCGGCGGTTAAATTAGCAAAGAAAACAAGAGGCAATCACACAGCTGGTATTGCTGATTAAAAGAACAAACTCACATTCGGGCACCGTCTTCGCAGCCGCTTGCTGTTTCGGAACCTCAGGAACAGCTGGGGCAGCAGGTGTCTGGGGTGTCCGCGGCGCCGGAGGATAGACGCGTTTCCACAATTGTTTAATTTCCTGATCATAATCGACCCATTCAGGAGCAATACGCATTGCAGCAGAGAGTTTTGGCTCCTTGGTCAGCGGATTGTTGCACAAATCAATGGTTTTTGCGCGACTTTTGCTCTCGTCAGAACACCACGTCTCGCACCAAAGCCATTCTTGAGGAAGAGATTTGATAGGAACCTGTGAAATGATGTGTACACAATCGATGAAAACACACAAGAAGATGGTTTGTGCAAGTCCATCGCTCGCTTCTCCTGAGTCGGAGTTTAGAGGTTGAAAACCACTTTCTTTCGTATTTGCCAGCTAAGCACCACTATTAAGGACTGATGCTGGTAGACGGAAAACACAGTGTATCGAAAATTAGTGTATATGGAACAGATTCTCCATTACGAAGGCAATCATCCAGCGGTTCACAAACGTAACTGCGTGCGAACGTTTTTCAAACGAGTAAAACACACTGTAGTATACCGCAGCTGAAGAAGACTATCTCTTTTGTCTGCTCAAGTGAAACTCTTACTCGAAAGGCCTCAATCTACGCTGTCTAGCACCAGAAAAGGCACTATAATAAATGCAATAGTTGAAAAGAGAGTTATGTCGCCTTATGTGAACGGAATCTCTGAAATGGCAGCAAGACTTCTGTTACCTTTTGGAGTCAGAGTTGTACACTAATCAACGGAGACAACTCGTAGTAAACTCTTCAAAGTGAAAAATAAACTGGAGGATTTATAAGGTCCGTTACCGGAACTGTGACAAATACCACGAGGGACAGATTGAAAGAAAGCTTGGCACAAGGCTACACGAACAAAACCTAGCCATTCGTCGCCACGATCAGCAATCCCTGATATCAGTGCATATGGACGTGGAGAACCAACAATTCCACCTGGAGTACGCCAACATCCTCGGAAGGGCCACAAGCCGGAAAGCACGTGAGCTCATTGAAGCTTGGCATTCAAAGCGGAACCCGATCTATAAGCATTTGCATCTCGAAGTCACTTACGAAGCACTGCGAATCACTCCCTTGAAGCCGCACTGATGATGTTGCCTAGTCTGGCAACGAAATGTCTGCAAAATAATCCACACCCACACCTTGAGCTACAGATACTCCCGACTACTTCAAGCAAATGGTCGTCTGAACTAAAGCCCATTTCAAATGACTCATTAAAATGTCACAGACAGGGTTAGATCGCTTAACATGAGATAATCTCTCTCATTCCGCATCTTGAATACAGGTGAGGTGTGCAGTGCCTGTGAAACACACACGCTTTATATGGAACTGGGTTCACGCATCAGCGAGTGTGGAGTGATGCGGATCCGAAGACAACATCGACCTACCATATGCCTTCAGGTGCTACAGAGTTTTTGAATATGGAGATTTATGAGGTGTTGTTATCAGTATAAGTACCAGAGGGAATAAAACCTGGAAAGCAACCGTTAGCGACAGTCAATTGAACATAGTTTGGATATGGATGGTGCCACCCGTACGGAAGATTGCATCTCAGAACTTGTTTTCTCGTGGTTTAAACTTCTCGGAAAACAGCGACTTGGGATACGATGAATCTTAACGATCCAGTATGTGAACCAACTTTCTGTTAAGAGAAGCACCTAAGGTATCCTAAGTAGACCATAATGCAAGATATCCTGAAAGTCAGTGAAATTGATAAGAGTAATCTTCTCGGACAATAAAATACTATTGATGATAAGTAAGGAAGATTTAAATGACGCCAGCCTGCGCCGCTTAACTGCCCTAGGATTAGCGGCTATTAAACTGGTAGTAGATGCTTCAACTTTTGATCAGGAAATCGGAGAAGTTGGATTCAAAACAGTGCGTAAGAGCGTCCCGGCACAATCCCTGTTGGTGTGGAATGGGAACGTAAGAAAAAGGCGTAAATGGTGATTGGAAAGGCGATATGGTGAAGCCAAGTTAACCGTCGGTTTGACCACAGCGATCAGCTAAAGTTGTGTATGAAACCTCTTGGACAGATATCGCACCAACTACCAGGCCGCCTGTTGTGGAGGTAGTCATGGTTAGTTATCGCAGGCGAGGAGACCGCCATAGGACAAGAGATCTTGGAAGTAATCACGTGAGGTTGACCTCATTGAGATGGACAAGTCGAGACGCGATAAAGGGGTAAGATTAGAAAACAATTCCCCCCATCTCTCTTGATCAACACGATCTCAATCTGGAAATAGCAAAATATGTGTCAAAGTGCAGTTGGAGCAGTCGAGAACGCAGATAGATGAAACAAATATGGAATTGACAACACGAAAAGTGACAAGTAACGGATATCATTGGGAATAGAGTTAAATGAAATGCGTTCAACTATTATATAACGCACTGGTCTGGCGAAAAACCCAAATACGGAGGCGAAATCTGGGCAAACACTAACTTGATGGATCATATTGTTTGGCAAATCTTGATCCAAGTTAGACAAACTATGAGGATCTTGACTCAATCCGTGGTACTGTCCACGCAAGCGATCACCAGCGGCAAGCTGTCGAAATCGTGTCAAATCTACCACATACAGAGCAGAGATGTGGTACGGTCGTCCGCTCAGATGATTGGCCCAATAGCCCTGTTTCCAGAAACGGAAACCGTCCATCTCCCTACGCGAATCGCAGAATGGTGTGTACCCGTAAGGGGCACCTTGTAGATCCAAATCTGCAAGCTCTTGTAAGTCAGCACGGACGATCTAGTGATTGGGAATTAGGGATGAAGAAAGCACCAAAAATACATATGGTGGCTTTGCATTGGGTTATGGTGAATAGATGGCGATTTATATTAGTAACGTACTACTAACCAAAAATAAGTAGTTAAGGAGTGCTGTAAATAGTGAGCATATACCCAAATGAGAAGGACCGACGCGAGCAAGACAGTTGAGTACAACATTGGGAGGGTGGGAAATTGTCCGTCACAAAGTAGTTCGTAAAACAGTTACCTATCCCCCACTAGAGGCCGGTCGATTCCTCAATTGGGTATGATGCAAGTGGCGGTGAAGAGACCATCTCTGTCTAACGGGACCACACAAGGAACTGACAAAAAAGTGGTCGCCATGGACAGGTTCATGCGTAGGGAAATTACTCAGAAAACGTTTGGAATGTTTTTGGCTGGCAGCCATAGACTGGTGATCGCCATAGCAGGTTGGACTGTACTATCATATTTGTCTGAGCGAGAAACGGACAACACCTGACATTCATCTGTCGCAGATGCGGTCCTAGTGATCGAATAGTGTGAAAATCACTCAAGCGAGTATCACCGTCATGACTGGGATGACTGTCGCAATCTAATCACAAAGAGTGCTTCAAAATGATCCGTTCAATCAGTCAGCAATCGTTGTGACATATGCTACCCGCCGTGACTCGGCTGAGCTTCCGAAAGCCCCAAGGGGTTTAGCTCGCGGTTCTCCAACCTCCGCCTGATGTGCACAACGAGTATTAAACCGGTTGTGGTGAAATGTGGCTGCTAAAACGTCGCACAGTAAACTGACACAGCTAGACTGTCGAACTGACGGCCAGTGGCCGAATGAATTGCATGCTTGACTTGTAAGCCGAAGGTCACGGGTACGAAAAGACATCGAAAATTGCAAAACAACACGGTCTGTTGAGACGGGGGGTCAAACACGTAGACATCTCTATATTGCGATAGATGCTTAGGGTGCGTATTCGCCACCATGTCAGGCAGCCATGGTTGAAACACACCCACAATGGACTAGAGCAGTCTCAATGTCAGGCATCCAAGTACGTCATCGGAATGCGCAATTGCCCACACGAACGGCGATGGGGGATTTTCAGTGTACGGTATTGACGATTACGAGGCGACCTAATAATGGCATACTTGATTCTGCACGATCCAAATCATGTGTGCTGCTCTTTATTGAAACTCAGGAGTAGCCCAAACGTGAAAGGTCACTCCGTGAAACTAGCAGAAGAGTACAGCCGTCTGGAGCGTCGCAGGAACTTCTTTTCTGTTCGTCTATGTCACACGTGGAACAGTCTCCACGATTCGGCCGTTTCTACAACAACATTAGCTATAGTTAAAAGTCGGTTGGACGACCTACTCAGCCAGTTACGTTTGGTTACTTGACACTAACTCTCCATCCTGGGAGTTAGTCTGGATTTATCAGTTGCCACCTATCGGTGCACTGAAACTACGCAGAGTTCAGGGTTACTGCATCAGAAACAACAAGCCCTATATTTTTAATGTATGTACTAGCTACGTTGTTGTCAGTAAAGTTTATCTACAACCCTACGAAACCACCAAAAGGGGCTTGAAAAGTACTGCTTCCTAGCCCGTATAAAGTTATTGTTCATCGTAGTAGTAGTGGTGGTGGTGACATTGATAATAGACGATATCCGTTTCCGACTCTACACATCAGTGCAATAGCCAAGAAAAAATCGCACCCGACGGTGGTTTATGATCGGCTTGGGCTGCACACACACACACACACACACACACACACGTATATATATTCAGTCTGTTAACGGACATTGCGCCATCAGAACCATGGCAGAAGAAAAAAGTGGAGAAGATAGGAACACGAACTGCGATTGTTAAAAAGAAGGGAAACGATTTTTTGGTTTTACACACGCCGTTTTGAATTTTTTTTGTTTTTGCTTTGTAAGCATTTGTGCGTATTAAAGGGAGTATATAATGAGAGAAGAACATTGACGCCACTGATGTCTATTGCAGGCCATGACATCCAATGTTTCTAACCACTGAGATTCAGCATCTCGTGGTCCCCAACCTGGAAGACGGATTGGTCCAACTGCCGCCAAAATTGGGGTTGCCTTCTTCATGCTCCTTCTCCACGTTATTGGCTGTCCACCGCGACACTTTTTCCAATCGATCCCTGGGAGTGCAAATAGCGCTCGACGTGGAAGGCGATGGGCTGGCATACGCAGAACGTGCCCGAGCTAATGCATCGGAGAATAACGTCCTGAAGACTGGCACTACTCACTACAAGCACTCGGTCTCGCACCACTGCGTTGCTTACGTGGTGTTGTCAGCACAACCAAGCAATCCGTCGTAAACAGCGATTGTCGAAGACTGACAGCCGCTTCATGTCTTCCGAGCGAATAGGTCAATTCTCACAGAAGTACAAGAGTACTGCCCTTAAGCTTGAGACTGACATCACGACAACGCCATAGGTGTCTCAGTTTGATGAGTGCAAGGCGGGCCTTTGCAATCCGTTGTGAGACCTCATCTCCAACACCGCTACCAGCCGTGATGCAACTCACTAGATAAGTAAAGCAAGGGACTTGCTCCAGAACATGTCCAGCAATGGTGAGCGCGGGTTCAGGCACCTGCCAGTCCTGGAGCAGCGTCTTACACTTTCCCGAAGTGAAGCATAAGCCGTACTTGGACGCCTCCAGGGCTAAGCAGTCCAAAGGGCTCTGGACGGTTTGTGAGTCGTCCCTAGTATGCGATCTCATCGGCGTAGTCCAAATCCGTGACTCTGTCTCCAGGGAGGAGCTCAACACCGCAGTTCTGGACACCTTCTGGTGCTTTTTGGACAACGTCGATGGCGAAATTAAAGAGGAAATGTGGAATAGGGCAACCTTGGCGAACACCGCTGGTCACAGTAAATGAAGAAGAGAGCGTGCCGTAAGCACTGACTTTGCGCGACGTGTGACTGTAAAGTTCTTTCAGGATAGTTACAAACTTGTCGGGCACACCTTTCCTCAGTAAACAGTTCCACAACGCAGATCTATTTACTGAATCAAATACCGCTCGGATGTCCAAAAACACTACGATTGTTGGCCGCCGGTGGATGTGAGCAAGTTCGGGAACTTGCCGAAGCGTGAAGATTTGGTCGATGCAGCCGCGGCCTGGACGAAATCCGGCTTGGTATTCTCGGGAAAACTCCTCTCTAGTCGTCGAAATCTGTGAAGTAGGACCGACACGAAGATTTTGGGTGCGACAGAGATTAAGGAGATTCCGCGGTAGTTGCAGCAATCGTCGCGGGAGCCCTTCTTGTGAATCGACCGATTCTCCCCATGAGTTCGGAACCTTTTTCTCAGTCCAAACTTTCGTGAATAGGGATAGGATTTCGCTGACAAATGCACTCCCGCCCTCTTTTTATAGAGCCGGTGGTAGGCTGTCGGGACCCGGAGCCTTGTGGCGTTTCAAAGATTGGATTGCATTTCGGATCTCTGCTTCATTTGAGGGGGCTGTGGAGACAGGCCAAGCCTTATCCATTGGGGCTGGAGGTGTCACAGGGGGCTGTGTTGGGTGGTTGAATTGAAGAGCGAAATATTCTGTCCAGCGACCCAATCGCCTGTGAAGGTTGATCTTCGTACCGTCTGATTCGCAAATCGTCTGGCTGATAGCATGGAAATCGCAACCGGTGGCTTTGATGATGTAAGAGAGACGGCGGAAGTTGCCAGCTGATGCAGCGGCTTCCATCTCATCAGCTTGCTTTGACCACCAAGATTCACGATCAGATCGAAGGGTTGCTTTCAGCTGTTGCGTAATAGACCGGCGGTGTTCGTTGAACTCTACACCAGCAGGCACCGTCCGTCGGCGATAAAGCAATTCCGAAGACCTTCCCGAGATCCAGCTTTTGGGAGTGGAGCGGGCGAAACCACAGGTGGTCTTTGACTGTGTCCGAGCTACAGTCAGTGGGCGCGTAGGTAGGGATAACGAAGAGAGCACGCTTTTTGACTAGACGTCTGCTAAGTTTACAAGAGCCATGGAGCCTCATCGCACACATCACAAATGAACCGTTGCACGTAGGTGCAGCACTTAACCGCGCAATGAATTCGGTTATCATTCTATTCACTGTCCTAAGTATGGTTATTCTTCAGCCACCTTTGTACGTCTCGCTTGACACGGATGAAAAAGGAGGGAATACAAAAGGAAAAATCGAAGAAATGGATTTTATCTCAATGTGGTGAGTGACATTCAATCAGAAGTCGGTCGATGGATACAGTATTGCTCCAAGTACTTGAAGGATAGTTGCTGGGATCAAGTTAACGTCACGTGACTTTAAGTGCTCACCTAATGAAACATAGTCCACAATGAATATTTCATTTAGGTGATTAGTCTAGAGCGGCACTTACGAAGCAAACCCAGAAGCATGGAACAGACTTTTAAATGGATAGAACAGAAAGGAAGCCTTAGTCATCATAAAGTCAATATGTGAATAAAAGGTAATCACTAAGAAGGGACCTGCTGTCGTTAACAAGCGAGGGAATTGGGGGCCGTACTCGAGTTTGCGGCATTCGACAAGGTGGCATCTTACAACATCCCTATGGGAATGGGCATACTCAATATGTCGCATGGAGACAAGTTACAGAGCCAGCTCAGACGGTTCAGAATATCATTTGATGGCATTTCATGGGAAATGAAGGCTTCGTGTGCTTAGGTTCGATGGTTCCAATTCATCCAGTTCAACAACACCGCGTGCGTCATCGTCCGGCTCACAACACTGTAAGATCAAGTGGAATTATGTTTTGGAGTTCGGCTTGGCAGACCTGGAAATACACCTAGCTCGAGGTGATCAATGAGATCCGACTCCATAGCATATAGGGACGGAACGGAAAATTGACAAAGGGTGACAGCGAATAACAACCGGTTCAAGGGCAAATCAATTTAAGTGACCGAGGCACAAGTTGAGCTAGCGAAACAATATTTAGCTGCAATAATTTCTATGTCATCATTCGTGCCAATCGACATTTTTAGATTCACAAA